TTCATTTATATTTAACCATTTCATTTTTCGTTTAATATTAAAATTAATTGTTAAATATTTTAAATTTATTTGTGATATTGATAAACGTTGTAAATGAATGACATTAGAATTTGTCATTATTCTTAATAAAACATTCTTTAAATATAAATTTTTATTTAAATCAATAATTGATAAATGATCGTAAACATTGATAAAAACTGATTCTAAAATATAATTATTTCGAACATGAATATATTCTAAATTAGTTGCATTTAACAAATCATCTTTTGTAATATTAATTAAAATTTTGTTCACTTAATATCAATGTATGTTTAATACATGATATATGATCATTGAATATTTTTAAATCGTGTATATTTGAATTCCTTAAATCTAATTTAATAAATGTTTATATTTTATACAATTTTCTATCATTGATTTCCATTGCCATGATGCTTGATGACACGATTGATAAATAATTGTTTCAATGGATGGTAATATATTAATGTTAAATAAATGTTTTATAGATGTAAATGATATGTCACTTAATTTTAAAGAATGAAAACATTCAGTTGAATCAACTATTTCAAATGGATTATGTGATAATAATGATGTTTCAATTGATAATATTTGTGTACCACTAATATTTATCAATAATGTAAAATTATTATTAGTCAAATTAATATATTTTAATTTTAGAAAATAAATTTTATCTAAATAAATAAAATTCATATGATTTTTAGATAATGAAAATGTTTCTTATTGTAAACAATAGACATTTGAATTAATTAATTGATACCACTGATAAATATTTTCATGAATATTTAGAAATTTAATATATTTTCATTATTTTGATATATAATTGAATTTATTTTTGATATATCATTATTTATTAATATTAAATTTTCAATATTTGAATCAATATTATAAAATGTATCATAGAATCATAAATGAAAACAATATAATAAAAAATATAATAAATTTGTTCTATCATAAGAACATTTTGATGGTAATTCAAGATAAAACAATGAGATAAAATCAATAAATATACAATAGATAAAAAAAAATATTAAAGACCGTCGTTGTTGAAATATGATCATAGACTCTTGACTTTTTAACTATTAACTGTCAGTTTTACAAAAGAGAACACGTGTCGCGAAACGCGACTAGGGATTCAGATTCAAACTGCCGCTTAGCGATTTCAAATTTTGTAACAATTTAGAATTAGTTAGTTTTTTATATGCGTGTGTTTTTCTTTCTGTGTAGGTTTACGTAGCTAGCTGGCATAATGACTCATAACAAACAGGAAAAGAAAAATGTTCTTGTTCCTTTGTGTTGCACGAAGAAGAGATGTGAAAAAGGATAAGACGATTAGTA